CTGTTTTAAAAATAGTTACCCCTTTTAAAAATAAAATAATATTTTATTTTTAGAAAAATTAAATAAAAATCAAAATACTCTTTATCATTCATTTTCTCTTTTTAATTTTTGTTTCTTATTAAGATTTTGAGATTAGACCTAGAAAATGATCTATTTATATAAATTATCATTCTGTCTCTTTTATTTATATATTATTTATTTAATTATTTTAATACTCTTTTTAAAATTTAATTAATTAACTTATTTATGATTTATATTTTTTTAACTTTTTTATTTTAAGTTTTAGTCTGTATTTCATGTATTTTATTTTTATTTTATTATTTAAGTTAGTTTTTAAAAAATATTATAAAATTAATTTATTTTTACTATTAATTTTATTGTATTGACTCTTCTATCTTTTTTAATTTTAGGATTTAATTTTTTTATTTAAACTCTAGTGTTATATTAAAATTTAAAAAATAAGTTCAATCCAAAATATATAAATAGAGTACTTTAAGTTTAAATAACCTACTTGTTTAAAGTGTCTTAAACACTTATGAGTTAAGGCACTCTCATTCATTTGTATACTTTTAATTTATTTTTGATTTATTAGTGTAGAATTTTATTATCTTAACATTTTTTAACCAACTTTAACTTGAATCAAACATCTATATTTAAGAGTCGTTCTACCATATATTTGTTTATATTGAAATATTATAGATTAAAGTGAAACACAACATAAAAGTTTTTTAGTTTATGTGTGTAATCAAATGAATGAAGTGTTTAAACATGTTAAAATTCTAATAGATACATTTTTAAACTATTAATGTAGGAATAAAATAGTTATATATTTTAATTTAATCTATCTAATTAATTCTTATTTCTATTCATTCAAATACTACATTATTTATTTTTATTTCATCTCTATTTGATTCCTTTCTATTTTATTCATCTCAATTTCATTTTTTTATCTAAAAAAAATTAATGGTAGAGATAAGGTACAAAAAAAGGATTCCTATGACTTATAGACAATAATTTAGTTGAGAGATTGATTTAGGTTCATGTAATAAAAGCTTAATCTGAGCATAATATACACATCGAACCATTCAAAACCAAATGCCAATAAAACTTGCACTATCTTGCTCAAACATTGTGCAATTCCACTATGATTTGCACTAAAACCAAAATATGCTTATTCAATGGGATCTGGATCCAGTTTTGTTGTAGTGGAAATTAGACATCTAGTTTTATTTTTGCTTAAGTAAAAATGGACTCAAGTGAAAATAGAAAAAACAACAAAATGTTTTTACTCAAAATTAGTTTAAGCGAATTTTGCATTTTTTTTTCTCAATCTTCTCATCTCTTTCTTTCCATGTCTAACACTCTCTTCTCAATCTTCATATTTAATCTTCCTTCTCCTCTCACACCCAACTCTGCTTCCCTTCACCTCATACCTAACTCTTCTTTTCCTCTTTTCATCCCACCTCCATACCCACCTTTTTCTTCTTTTTTTCATACTCAACTCCTCTACCTTCCTCTCCTTCCACCACCACCCGTTCTCCCCATCTCTATCCATTCACAGTCCCCTATTCCCTCACACTCAATCTCCCTCTTTTCAAGTGCATAAATTTGCTTAAACGAATATGCAAAATTTGTTATAGTCAAAAAAATTCACTTAAGCTAATTTAATGTAAAAAATTTGTTGTTTTCTCCATTTTTACTTAAGTAAGTCCATTTTCATTTAAATGAAAATGGACGTTCAGTTACCATCACAACAAGAGGGAATTTGGATCCTATTCAATGGGGTGAAAAAGTCTCTTCTCTATTTTTTTCTATTTTTAATTTTTATTATGACAAGAATGGAAAATATGAGTAATAGAAAGAGAAAAAAAAAATTAACGAGATTGAATTAATGTGACATACTTCCACATGTAAATTGAGAGAATTTTAAAAGTGTTTTTTCAACTTTTAAAGCTTACATACATAATGATTTGTAACTCACTATAACAACTCATTTAAACAATAACGACTAAAATTCAAGAGACAATAGAAAAATTGAATCATTCACAAATTTAAGGCATCTCATCAACAATCAAGAAATTTTCTTTCTTGTAGTAAAAGCATTTAACCTCACTATTACTTCCTTTTTTTCTATTTCTGTTTCTACTAACTGTTAGATCTATATTATCTATAGATAAATTAGAGACCATCCACCTTACAACCATCATAGAAAAGGTTAAAGGATCCTTCCAAGTTGCATCTCATAGAGCTTGATGACTCCATCTAGGCAATGTATCAAATAAGTAATCTCTTTGAAGGCATGTGTCCTTTTTTGCTTGATTGTTTATTGCTCTTAGCTGCAAAAAAATTATGCTAAAGCCAGAATTGATTTGAAGGAACATGTAAGATCTGGAGAAGTATTGTTATTGAAAGCATAGAATAGCATGGTTGGAACTTGCATTTGAAATTTTGGATGCCTTTTACAAGTTTGCAGTTTTTCTCCCATGCATAGGTTTGTCTTTACCATATTCTTGGGATTTATAGTATACTAAATATGTAAACTAAATAAGGTGTAAGGTGGGGTCTATTCAAACTTGAACAATTTAATTTAAATTAATAATTAAAAGCTTAATTAAGTATTTGGTCTTTACAAAAGTTACATAACTTATACTTAGTTTATATAAAATATTTTGTTAGAAAATACTCTTTACTTTTTTCTTTGTATTTTGTTTTTAGTTTCTCTAGTTGACGTGGTCCATTTGGATAATGTTAAGTGTTAACTTTTGATTGGATCAGTAAAAATAAAGTTAGCGAAAAAAAGTAGGTATTATATCTTAACAAATTTTTTTTTATAAAATTAAGTCTAAATTATGTAACTTTTGTAAAAATTAAACACTTAACCGAGACAATAAAAAAATAAAATAATTTAAATAGTTGGATTGCTTTAAATCTAAACAGAAAAATCTAAATGAGTTGTAACATTTGAAAATCAAATTATCCAAACAATCAATATATATGAAAAAATTAAGATTTATATGCTTATATAATAGAAAAAAGTTCATCAAAAGAGCAGCCCTCAAGATTTATGTGACTATTAATATTATTATTATACTTAACTATATTTAAAGATTATTAATTTAAAATTTATTGGATTATGATGAATTTTAAATTTATTTAAAATATATGATAACATTTAATAGTTTTTGTAAATCTCTTTTTATTTTATATGATTTTTTTAATATTCTTTATTTTTTGATAAAAATTAATGACACGACGACCAGACCCAAATCAATCCAAATTTTATAATATCTGTTTTGGTTGGGTTAGAAAAAAAAATATAAATCTAACCAATTCAATGATTTGGAAATTATTTTTCTTTAAAGGCGAATCAACCCGTCTAATTACACTTGTAGCCCAAACCATAAAGGGCGAGTGTAAGGACAAAGCAAGAAAGTATATTCAAATGTCAGCATTACATACGGAGGATCTTTTAGTTTCTTTAGGTGCAATGTAGACTTGTATGGTTGGCTCGGTATTGATTTACTCTTACTTATACAATGGAAAAGAAATAGTCCAAAATAAGTATAAAAATGTTGGTGTGTTTAAATTAAATTTTAAATTAGTGATAATGTTTGACATGATTGTGTCTTTTTTATTTTAAATTTTATGGAATTTTTAATTCTTAGATATATTTAGTTCTCATAATTTTGGGACTTTTTGACAAAAATAAATAAATAAATAAATTTATTAAAATAATGTTAAAAATTATTTACTTATTAGGAGTATTTTTTTGATCATGTCATTAGCAAGTTTTATTCCTCCTAAATATGATACTTATTTAAAAATTAAATAAAATTTACATCTTAAAAGTGCAATATAATATTTTGTGAGTAAGATGTTATCACATAGCAACACTTAATTGATTTGGTCCATTTAGTAAGCAAGACTAATTTTGTCAATATAAGAGGTAATACTAGTCTTGTTCAATGTAGGTCGTGCCATGTGATAGCTTATTTTCTTTTATTCTCTTTTAAAACATCTTGATGTTTCTTTTAATTTCATGTAAAAACTATATATTATATAAATAAATTTTTAATTTTTAATTATAAAAAATGAATTTTAATTATTTTGGTGTATGTAGTTATATATTTTAACTTTTATTATTAATTTAAACAATTATTCTTAGCATATTTGAGATTGAGTTTGAAAAGATTTCTGAAAAAAATGTTTAGAGAGTAAAATCTTTTGATGTGTAAAGTATTTTATAATGAAATTCTTAACATTTCTCAGGAACTAAATGTAGCCTTGAAATTGTGGGATGAATCAATATAACTTTTGATGTTTATTTTTTTTGAAAATTTATTTATTTATTACACTAATAAAAAAAGTCTTTAAATTAAAACTTAATTTTATTTTAGAAACATCTATGTTCAGTTTAATATATTGTGTGTAACTTGAAATTGATAGTTATTGAATAAAATTTAGTTCAGAAGAAATTCAAAAATAAAAAAATCAATTCAACTCTCTCTTTCTTCTATTCTTACTTTTTATATATAAAAATTAGTTTTTTAAAAAAATGAATTATAATTTTCGTTCGAAAAGTATAATAATATTAAAACTAATATTTTTATAGTCCTTGCATTCTATGAGAAATCATGATTGTAATCTTTTGACGGTGATTTAATGGACTAAAAATATTAAAAATTTAATAGTTTTGAAGACAAATAATATGTTCAAACTAATATTTTGAAATACTAAATTTTAAATAATGATAAAATGTCAAGTTAAAAATACCTTGATAACAAATTTTTATGTACTTTATCATCACCCAATCTAAAAGGATTTTACTTTAATTCTTTTATTTAATTATGAATTATCATATATATATATATATATATACACAGAGAGAGATATGAGAATAATGTCCCTCGCAATCTCACATGTCACACTCCCATTGGTAGAGTAAGCAGAGATTAAAATGTCAGCATCCACATAAGCCCAATCCGGATAAGAAAAACAATCTTAACCACTGTGTTTCAATGGATCATAATAACACACAAAAACACTTCCCCACCCACATATCCAAAACACCATGGCCACCACCACATTCTCATCACCAACAGCCGTTCTCTCCTCCGCCGCCACCACCACACCAAAACCACCCTCCTCTTCTTGCAAGCCTCTCTTCCCCGTACAACTACCCTTCAAACAACCTCTAACAACCTTAACTGCTGCTGCAGCCATAGCCACCATCCTTACAGCTGCACCTTCACCTTCCTTAGCAGCAGACCCCAACTACCAAATTTACTACGGCACCGCCGCCAGCGCCGCAAACTACGGCGGCTATGGCGGCAATGCCAGCAAGAAAGACTCAGCTGAGTATGTGTATGATGTGCCTGATGGATGGAAGGAAAGGTTGGTGTCAAAGGTTGAAAAGGGTACCAATGGAACTGACAGTGAGTTCTACAACCCAAAGAAGAAGCAAGAGAAAGAGTACCTCACTTTCTTAGCTGGGTTTCGCCAACTTGCACCAAAGGATGTGGTTTTGAACAACTTGGCACTCTCTGATGTGGTCTTGCAGGACTTGATTGCTAGTGCAGATAGCTTGATCTCTGATGAGGTGAAGGATGATAAAGGACAAGTTTATTATGTGTACGAGATTGATGGGGCTAGTGCTCATAGCTTGATCTCAGTGACTTGTGCTAAGAACAAGCTTTACGCTCATTTTGTCAATGCTCCCACTCCAGAATGGAATAGAGATAAGGACATGTTGAGGCATGTTCATGAGTCTTTTAAGACAGTGGGGTCATATTAGTTAATTAGCTTCTGCTGTTTTATATTTTATAGTGATAATGATTATATCTATTATGAGGATTGGGTCTTTTGATAAATTTGCATTTTACTGCTTGTTAGCTTGCTTGAATTTGTGGTATAATTGGCTTCAATTTGAAACTTTCAGGAATCCCTGATGGTGAGTTTTTGCAAGGAAAATAGAGACTAGCTCTTGCAACTCTGAATTCTCTGTGGTTTTCGGTTGAATCTGTGTATTTTTCTGGTTGTTTGTAGTCTGAAAACCCAATATCTGATGTTTTTGGGGGGTGATCATGGAAATTCAGTTTCCGATTACTAAAGCCAGTTTCTTTGATGGATTAGAATTTTTACTACATGTCTACAGGCTTGCATTTTGGGCAGAACAATTGAATTCAATTTGAAACTTTTATTAGGAATCATTCATGTGGAATTTTTACAGTGAAAAATAGGGACTAGCGGTTGCAGGCCTCAATATTATGTGGTGTGGTTTGTGGTTGAATCTGATGCGAGTTCTGTTTTACTGTAGCTTGAAAAATGAAACTCTTGAGATGAGACGTGGGAGTTTCCAAAATATTTTGGAGATGTTTCCATGGAAAATTTGATTTCTCATGTCAGAATAATGAGTCATGAAATTCCAGAGGCTGGAACTAGAATCATTCCTTTGAGAGTTTCATTTCCATGATCCTTTAGATTACTCCTCATGTTCATAGCCCGAATTCAAATTCAAGACAATATGGATCTGGTTACTCAGTTGAAGCTAAACTACTCTAACTTGCAATATTCAAGGTTAATGGGCTAAAAGATTGGTAAGATTTTTGGTAATAAACCAAATCCTGTTAATGTTGGGTGTGTTTCTTTGAGATGAAGCTTGATTTCAGATACATGATCATGATCTAGTTTGTTTCATCATGGGACATTCCTTACCAACCAGTTTAAGCTTGAACACTTAAGAGCATCAAATAAAGCAATAAATATTGTGGACTGCAAAATCACAAGGGACTAAAGCATGAAATCAGAAGAAAAATTCCTTAACCAGAAGTTTAACTCATTATCGCCTATCCTACAAATGAAGTTCACATTTAGTATAGGAAGATATTGACCTGTTCGTCTAATTAAGTGACTATATGCCAATCTTGAGCCTCGGCCAGAAGCAACATTACCCTTGGCTTTAATAACATGCTTGGTTTACATCTGAAGCGAAAAGATTGATTTTTTTTTCTGTCTTAGAGAATGTTGGTATCCTTTTTATAAACAATTTTTTAAAACAAAATACAATACAAAATTGTATTATTTTTTATTTTTAAAAAGAGAAAAGTGTTTTTAAAAAAGGAAACAAATATATTGTATTTTTAACCAACTGAATTTCCAAAGATATTGGAAATCTGTACAACTGCGTTTTGAGACATAAACACAGACGCGAAACAAATGCATCAAACTAAGGTTTGGCTACAAAATAGTTATGAGCAGGAAGAAGTTATAAATAAATATCAAATTATTTACTGGTTTATACTAATTCGATTGCTTCTTTACTGTTTTTCTAATAATTCGATTTTTGAGTTGAATAGACAAACACTTGACTACTTCATATTTTTTTCGGTAGAACCATTCACTCTAACCTGGTCCAAAATTTTCTGAAGCATAGAAGTGTAATACTGTTATTTATTTAATACTTATCATTTATATGTACTTAAAGTTTTGTTAGCCGTCGTGCTTTAATTTTCATGTCAGTTATCTCATTGGTTGCCTTATAACTCAATTTTACAGTTAACTACATATGTTGGCAATGAGCTGTTTCCTATTCAAAATATATGTATATATACTTCCACCCTTCGAAAGAGAGGGGCAGAAAAAAGCACTTCAAAGTTGTTCATCTATCGTTGCTCTTTCTAGTGCAGTGTTACTACGAAGTGACTATATGTACCGTGTAATTTATTGGTGGTGGCGAAATATTCTTTAGTCCAGTTTGCAGGCCTAAGCCAAACTGATGATTTTATTTGTGTTTATTTTATTTCTCATATAATTGTAGTATTTTTATTTTTTAGGTACCATTATTACTATTTTTTGGGTGTTCTCCGTTAAATGTTTTCAACAAGGTCTTCGTAAAGGGAATTGGACAAGGTCTATCCATCGAATTTTCGTTCACTGCCATACTATCCAATGACCATAGCAAACTGGCCGTGAATGGTCAGACATTTGCATATCAAATAAATTCAACGATAAAGGAAAGAATGACATTACCAAAACTTAGCCTCTAGGAAGCATGATTATATATGAGATACAAATATTATCGAAATGATGAATTGAGAGATACCACAAATGTAAAATATTATGGCACATCACTCTCATGACTGAGGCATTACTTTTGAATGATATGTTTTATAGACATAATCAATAACACCTCTTTAAATATATGTTTCAGTTAAGAAGAAATTAAAATTTGACATTATACTGTTAGAGACTATTTAAAATGTATTAATTATTAAAAATATATAGATAAAACAATGCTCATGGTACATAACAAAAATGAATGCAATAAATAACACAAAACAAAATATCACCATAAAATTTCAATCACAAGAAATGCATAAAAATTTTCTAGATTTCACTTCATGTAGAATAATTGTCTAATTGAGCGTTCACACAAATATTGCATGCTTATAATAACAATAACTATATTGAAAGCCTAACCCTTATATTTAGCAGTTAAAAAAAACAATTAAGCTCACTTCAAGTCTGAGTATAAAACTAATGTGTCCATTGCTAATTACATTTCTCAATGCATCTAAAAGAAGCATTAGATGCACAAGAGAAATTATACAAATTTTCATACAAAACAAAAATAAACAATAAATTCAATCTAGTTTAATAGTCATCTTTGCATGTTCCAAATTGTTAGTGTAATAAAATTCAATGCTTTAGTGAAATCCAACTAAGAATAACACGTGCAAGAAGAAATGTTAACAACCACGATGTATCTTTATCTCTATGTCTAGGCAATGCAAAAGGAGAAAAGACGCTCTAAATTTGAAAATCTAATCAATATGTCTATTGTGAGAAATGATATAATCATATAAATAACCTAAATCAATGGTAGCATTAAGAGTATGAGCAATCTATTACAAATTGCTAAAAAATATGAATAAGATTCAACTATGAAATAATTACATAAAAATTAACCTAGAATTTGTGCTACAATAATTTAGACACACATATGAATTAAGAATAACACAACAACAATGATATAAAAGAAAATTTCATAAAAAATTTGGGAAGACACAAGAAAGTTTCTCAAACCTCTAAAAAGGAAAATAAAAAAAGAGAAAAAAACTAGCTATATATCCCTAAATTTGAGTATATGCTATATGATAAAGATTTTATTTATTTAATAAGAGAGAGAGAACTGTAAAGATTTTATTGAATAAGTTCTATTTAAAATTATGTACTCTATACTATTATATTGATGAAAATTTTAATTTAGAGTTAAAGCACTTTGATAAAATTTATGGTGAAGGATGATTAATATAGCTTTTCAGTTTTCTTTAAATGTAAAGTATTAAATTAAAATGTGTATGATTGAAGTTTTTTATCTTACTCAATTTTAATAACTCTAAACTTACATGAATAAATATTTCTTATATATTTATTGATCTTTTACTTAATTTACTCAAGAAAAGAGGCCAAATAATCATTTTAGTTTTTCTAGAAGTTAAGACAGTTGAGAATTTATGAAAAATACATATATATATATATATATATATATATATATTTAGGAATATTTTATACATTCATATATCTTTTACCCATTTTATTCAACTAATTGATGATATTTCCACATTTATATAGAAGAAATTATTTAAATGAAAGTAGGATGTTACAGACTGACCCCACCTAACCCATATATAACTTAAAGCTGGGACTAAATTAACCCACATCTACATGGACCCATTCATCAACCACTTTCGAGTGTTCAGTATTACCAATTTCATCATTTTCAGTTGGTTAGTTAAATATTGTGCACCTTTGTTAAACACTAATAAGTGATTCAGATACTTTCTCAAAATTTATTGGCTAACTAATTTGGAAATTGACTTGTACACAGGAAAATTTATGAATTAAACTAAAAAAAGATATTAATTTTATAAACTAAATTATTAATTTATGCGATAGTGGAGTTCAAACACTTTCTTATTTTGCTTGTCTTATTTGAAAGAGCACTTTTTGCAATGTAGATAAATTTGGGCCTACTAGCGATAATTACAAGTTTTATTTTGTTTTTTTAGTTTTAAATGAAAATTTTAAAATAAATGCTATCCAATTAAAATAAAATGAAATGAAACTTAATTTAATTTTACCTCAAATTTTAAAATAATAATAAAAAAGTAAATTTATTTTTAATAATAAAATAAATCATTAAACTTTCATTTCTTTTAAAACATGCATAATAATTACTTCCATTTGTCATTCTCAAAATTATATTATTACTGCCACAAGTTAAGTGTTGTCACTTGTACAATCACTACTAGCAAAAGACAATTGTCATCACTAGTACTACTTTTGTTTTTTGTTTTTTTCTACAATAATAATTGTTGTTGCTATAAATTATCATCATTGTCACCGCACAATATTCATTGCTATTATACTTATTTATTAACATTGTAATTGTGATAGCAAACCATTAATAAAGGTAGTGTATGCTAAAAGAATTAGGAGAGGGATATGAGATCGGAACCCAACTAAATGTTAGTTGGAAGAAGTTATGAGAAATTGTATATGAAGGGAAGATGAGAAAGTAAAATAAAAAAATGAATAAAATTACTGTATGGACGGGGAGAGCCAAGGGTATCTCAATATACCATGTGAACCTTGTAGCACTTTATGTCTCTTGGTCACCTTGATCAACATACATTCTTGTGAATAATACGATTAATTTGTTTTGTTTTCTATCTATATCAATCCAATTATATCAAATTCTATCTAAGTTCTACTTTCATGAGTATGATTCATGGTAGGGATGTTAAGTGCTAGAAACTCATGTTTTATCATTAATTTGCCACTCATTTTGGATTAAAATGTAAATAATTCTCAGCATGTTAATCCCCTAAGTAGGTAAATTAATCTAATTCAAGAAGTCCTAAGAGTGGTAGTGTTTTGGTTTAAAATACCTCTATTTTTGTGCAACATTTTATGAAGTCTGAAATCCAGGGCTACAGCTCCAAATCAACAGCTGTAGCCATAAAATTGTGCAACAAAACAAGGATTCTAGAAAGTTATAGTCATGGCTATGAATCTGCATTTACAGCTGTGAGAAGACAAAGCAATTAGAAAAATTCAGATCTTCACAGCTACAATCGTGAATCCACAGCTGTAGTGGCAGAATTAAAATTTCTAAATTTCTCTTATTTTAAAGATGCGTATAAAAGGAGATTTGGGAGAGAGAGATGAAAGGGAGACACAAATATCGAAAGAAAGAGTTATCCAAGAGAAAACAAAGCACAAGGAAGACGTGGGGAATGGATTGCTTGGGAACAAAGAGTCTTCTTCATTTTTATTTTTTTTTGTAATTTCATTTTATATCTTGCTATGGCCCTCACCATGAGTTACTAGTTTCTCTTGGATTAGATTTGATGTAACTATTAACTTTATTTCTTCTTGAGTTTATATGATATTCAGAGTTACATTACTTGTTTGTGATTTGATAAGTCTATAATTAGGCTCTATTTTATAACCCATATATTTATATTTGACTTTTATTTTATTTGGAGTTTATATTAATTTATATATTAATTATGC